GCTCCGCCCCCGTCTATATCTCCAACCTTGGCTCATAGTATCACCCTAACCGCCCCCTCCGCTCTTCAAATGACCTCCTGCTTTCCAGTTCCCTCGTGGACTCCTCCCATGCTCGCCTCCAGGACTTCACTAGAGTCTCTCCCATCCTCTGGAACTCTTTACCCCAACCTGTCCATCGGTCTCCCACTCTGACTGCCTTTAGGCGATCCCTTAAGACTCATCTCTTCAGGGAAGCCGATCCCACCTCAACCTAACCACTCAACCCCACACAGCTCCCTCCTCATGTATCACTGACCCCTCCCTTTTAGATTGTAAGCCCTCAGGGGCGGGGCCCTCCTTACCGTCTTGTCTTCAATTGTATTGTAACTGTAATGTCTTCCTTATATTGTACAGCGCTGCGCACACTGTTGGCGCTATATAAATCCTCTATAATAATAATTGATGAAGTGTTATCTCCAGGAAGTGACTCTCGTGATCATCAATAAATCCCGTATAATAATAATAATTGCCCCCCTCTGTTCTCCCGTGATGTACAAAGGACGGTGCTGTGATCAGAGGATAATTGATACCTTCATGAGCCCCTGTACCATGGGTGAGAGACCCTTCACTCTACAAGTCACACACATGTGGAAGAAAACACGTTTTAAGAAATGAATGACATCATTGTTCTAGTTCTGAACCGAAGGAGATCCCTGCAATCTGAGGAGGGACTTCTGTACTTGAGAACGTTCCACCTACTTCTGTGTGCTCCCCGCAGTGACCTCCACCAACACGGGTCATCTGTATCTCAGCAGCTGACTGGCTGCTATTGTTTCTGCAACCTGTAAATACGTCCTCAGCAGTGCCGGGACAAGGTGGCCCTTCGGCATTCAAAGGGGGAAATGCAAAAGTGCGCAAAACACCCCCCAAAATAAAAACTACAGGAAGTAAAATTCAACTAAGAACAACTGAGACTAAGGCCTGGTTCACACCTAGGCGTATTGCATATGCGCGTCTGTTGCGCGGTTGGCGCGCGTTTTTTTACCGCGATGCGCTGTAAAAAAATTGCGCCACAAACGCGCGTTTCCGAGGGCTACTTGGCTGTATCCCAATGGAAACGCGCAACAAAAACGGCCCAAAGTAGTACCTGGACCTTTTCAGGCGCGGGCCGTTTTGTAGCGCGTTAGGGACGGGCGGAAATACGCCGAGGTGGGAACCAGACCCTTAGAAAACAATGGGATTTAGATGTTTGAGCGTTTTGTAGAGCGTTCGTCGAGCGTAGAACGCTCTACAAAACGTTCAGGTGTGAATGAGGGCTTAAAAAGTGGCTCCTCCATCCCGGCCCTCTGGCCATCAGATGCGGAGGATGCGGCACAATGTGTGTGACGCCAGAGAGTCATCCTAATCTAAATCCAAAACTGAGTCTTAAATGGTGACTAGTCCGTCCTGACCCTTTGGCTGAGTAGCCGGCCATCAGATGCGGAGGATGGGGCACAATGCGTGTGACGTCACCAACAACAGACCAAATGTTTAGCAAAGAAGGAGAACGCACCCCCGGGGTCCAGAGGCCGGAGACAGCCGCCGCCCTCCTCTCCGGCATCTTTCTTGCCTGGGGG